CACCGAGCATGAAATCGGCTCATTCTTCCAACTAAAAAAATTGTCAGTTGTTGACATTACACTCGCGCTCGCGTCGAATCTCACACGCGCCACAGCGATCGTACGCGATTTAACCACGGCTCTCGCACAAGTCAATGCAACAATTGAACCACATGTCAGGGCTAGTCAGCCTATACCGTGCACGGCCAGAGGACCTCTGGCCAAATGTTTCTTCACTATTTCCCCTACACTTGTACACGTACTCGAGCCCGCGCTAACCCGCAACTGGAGCCGGGAGCTAATCGATTGCGCGTTGGCCCAACGTGTCGACCTGCAGCCGATCGAGGTGCTCATTGTCTCCGCCGAGGATTTAGGGTTTTTTTAAAAACCCTCGAGTCTCTGCGGGCAGCCTGCCAGGGCTTGCGGGCTGCTAGTAGGCTATATTCCACTCTTAAAAAATAATGCAAGTCTAACAGGGCCCTTGGCCAGCTTGCCAGGGCCCTACACCCCGGCCGGTCTTACAACTGCAGCTTTGAAGCTATACTTCCGACTTTGATATCGGTAGGGGCTTTGAAGCTACAGCGTTTGATGGCGGTACTTCCGCCTTTAAGACCGGTCGGAGCCTTGAAGCTACCAGTTCAGTCTTGAATGCTGGTATGAGCTTCAAGCTGCAGCATGCGCGCGGTCAGTTGATGAGTCTCTGAGCCTCTGCCGCCAGCCAGGCCCAGTATATAATAAAAACGTCAAACAATGTTGTACCGAAAATTTAAAAGAATCGACTTTGAAAAAAATAATAATTTCAACAACACTCATACCCCCGGCCTCTGAAACAATTTGTGTGCCTCGTTTCAAAAACTATTTGCACGGAGCGCTGGTCTTCGGCGGCCTTGGTGTATTTCACGAGACCCATTCAACCGGCTTGCAAGCGGGAGCCAACATCCTTTGAGATCGGTAGGGGCTTTGAAGCTACATTGAAAAAAAACCCCCGAAATTCTTATTACACCTTACTATGAATAAAATCCAGCGTTTATCATGAATACATTGACTACAATGAGAGTAAAAAATATATCTGCTCGTCTACCCGAAATATCTACTATACTATTCGTAGATGATGATAGAGAGAGAGTAGATATCCACACCTTAGGTGATGGTACGGAGAAAGGCACATACTTCCGCGCAAGTGATGTCGCAAATCTTGTTGGTGTAACAAAGGCCACGACTATAGTTGACACATTGGATTACAACCAATACGTGAAAATGGGAACGGGAGCTCGCGACCCCTTGTACATCACCGTCGAGGGTCTGGTGCAGTACATAATGTCATCCAATAAAGCAAGATCTGGTCCGTACGGACGCTGGATCGTCAAATTGATTTTTGCATTCGCAACCTTGGACCATGAAGGTGTTGATGAGCTGGCCCGCCCACCACTGGCCGCTATACTACCGGCCGATTTCATACCAAGCAGTCTGACGGGGATTTGCCTTATCGGAACGGTCGGTGAGCTTCTCCACCAGTGTACAATAGACACTGACGCTGCCGACTCAGATGTTGTGCTGAATTATGGGATGTCAAAAACGAGCCACGAACATAACGGTGCATTTCCCGGCGCGTCGCGCTTAGTGACATGCTGCATGGACTCGGAACTGGCAGGCAAAGCTGTGAAGGGAAGACATGTTCTTAGCCAAAGCCTTTCCGTACGCAGGGCAGAAAGAACGTGTATCTGTCCCAGAAGAAAGCTTGGCAGTAGTCGTCAAAAATGTAGCTGCAATCGTATCTGAGCGTGCACGTCAGAATCCCAAAGTCAATTATGCTCACAAGCTAGAAATGACCACCATGGAGCTTCAGTTTCTGAAGCAATCCAAAGATGACCTCGTTCTAAAGCGTATCGAGGACAAGAATGAACTCGATCGGCGCGGTAAGCAGCTCAACGCTTACCGGCTACAGGTCGAAAAGTTGAACGACAAACTTCACGCCACCACGGAGAATCTCTCCATAGCAGACGAGAGAGTTTTTAAGCTTGCTATGCCGGCCAATGTGAGAAAGCGTCTCCGAGATATGTAGAAATGTAGAATTAAACTTTGAAAAAAATCTTTTTATTCAACAACACACACACTACTCCTAGTCCTACATATCCGTCTCCCCAATTTCCTCGTCGTCACTGTCACACACGCTCTCGCCTTCACTCTCCTCCTCACTCTCCTCCTCGGCCTCATCCGACGACTGGATAAGGCGACGCTTGATATGTCGTGACCGCTCGCGCACAGTCTCCACATCAGGCATCGTGGGCTTGCGCTTCCGACTGGCGACACTTACCTTGCCCTTTTTGGCTGTGGCCTTGCCCTGCACCGCAGCCACCACCAGCTTCTGGGTCTTGGGTCGCGCATCACCTACAAACCTCTGGCTGGACGTAAATTCCAGCACACGCTTCAGCACATTGTGAAGGCTCCACATAATCACTCCCACCGCCTCGTTGGCATGCTGCATGAAGGCCCCGTAGCGGTCTGCGATACCCAGTGCAGGCACCGCACAGTACTCCTTCACCCCCTTGGCCGTGCGTCGCCCCGTGCGCAGCAGCGTGGACTTGGCCAGCACATCGTATGGGACCACAAAGTCTCCCAGGGACAGCGGCTGAGTGAGCAGGCCCTTGGGCAGGATCACGATTGCATTGTCGCGCTTTAAGGTCTGGTGGCGGCGAGGCAGCTCATCATCCACACTCTCGGCATACTCTGGCGTCATCTGCAGCACATTGTAGAGCACCTTGTTCATGCCCGACAGATTCAGTCGGAACACACTGACAGCCACCAGCGACTCGAGCCTGTACTGCTCATCCCCCATGGTCTCGGACATGTTCACTCCGGCCAGTGTCAGGATACGGTCTCGGCCTACCAGGATAATGCGCATGGCCGCTGTCTTCACCCTCCGCACTCGCCTCCACCTCGTTATCGTCCAGCCCCTCCAGGCCCCACACATTGTCCTCGTCGTCCTCCTCAGCGTCACCCTCGCCGTCATATAAGCCATACAAGCTTCTCAAGGTGGACGCCAAGGTCCTTCTGGGCCACCGGAACACCCTTCACCCACGACGGGCACGTCACATTTTCACGCGAGAGGCGCCCATAGTTTTTATCTTGAGCATCCGCCACCATCGCATTGACAAGGTCGCCGTCCTTGCGTGGCATGCCCAGCGACACAAGCATCTCACAGCTCATCAGCACCTCAATCTCCGATGCCAGCTGCTGGAACATGTCGGCCCTGTCCCTGGCCTTGACAACACGGGTCGTGGGGGCAGCCTCAGGTCCCAGCAGCAGCTTAATATGCGCCCTGAATGCCTCGAGGGAGAAAAACACCGAGTCTCTATCACACAGGCGCGCAGACTGGACCAGCTCCCGCACCCCGGTCTGGCGCAGTGACATGTCCGCAGCCCGTCCTCGTAGGCGGCGTACAGTGGCAGGGCCAGCTTGCGCGCTGCGTCAACCGCACTCTCCTCTCCCGACTGGGCCCCGCCAAAGATATCGTCGTCAAAGTGACTGCTGTACTCCAGCAGAGTCTGCAGATAGTCCCAGATCTCAGTGATGATAAACTCTCGGTAGGATGCGCACAGGCAAGCCCGAGTACCCTTGACGCAGTAGTAGAATGTCTCCAGCAGAGCCAGCACCGGCGCGACCAGGCTAGGGTAGTTGCCCCGGCGCAGCTTGCCAAGGGCAGCATCGAAGTGCTTGAGTGTTGCGGTGCCCGTTAGATGCTCACTGGCAAAGCCGCGGTGGACCTCGCCGTTCATCAGGGACGCGACCGCCATGCCAGAGCTGCAATACCGGAGGGCCAGAAACTCGCAAGCGGTGCCGCTCTTTGGAACATAGGCTCCACAGGCAGATGGCGTTGACTTGGCCTTCTCGAGTGCCGTGCACTCAGAGATTGCCAGGGCCATGCTCTTGGCCAGCACGTCCTTGAAAAGCGATGTGTGCAGGTACATGATGTGCACCTGTGAGGCATCCATGGGCAGGCCAGTCGTCGTGGCCTGGTACGGCACCAGGCGAGTCATGGAATCATTGTAGCTGTTGATCTCAAGGCAGATTGCAGTGGTGTCGGCTACAGCACCCAGGCGCGACACAACGGCTGCGTTGATGCGACACATGGAGGTGAGCGGTGACAAGAACTTGTTGGAGTCCATGATGGACGTCCTGTTCATTTTGAGCGACTCGACCTTGATGGCAGTCGCGCACCCAAGCACCAGGCGGTGCGTGGCCTCACAAGTATCCATCTATGTGAGCTCCTCGCATCGCAGTATATGCATAATGTTCATGACCACATCACAGTTCAATATGGACGTCACAGGCATACTAAAGTGCTTGTAGCCAATCATGGCAGAGGTCTCGTATTGCAGCATGCGCGAGTCGGCAAACGCCTCCTCAAAGTCCTGGCAGTACTTGGCCACAAAGTCGGCGTTATGTGTCTTGCCAGACGGCTTGATGTGCGGGTACATCTCCACAGCGTCCAGGTCCTCGGCGTCCATGTCCACGGGCAGGCGGAAGAAGGCCAGGGCCCTCAAAAACCGGTTGTGGCCGGGGGTGTTGGACACGTAGTTCATGGTGCTCTAACCAGCCCGGTCGTCACGCTGCACAAAGCAGTTGGCGAGCTCGTTAACCAGGCTCAGTAGGCGGTCAGTGGCACTCTCAACAGCCTGATTAATGACAACGCCGCGAGCCACAGCAGCCGTGTACTGCGAGTAGACACGGAGAGCCAGGTAGCGGAGGACAATGGCAATGCAGAACGTGATGTGGAAACGGTGGCCGCCGCCAGTGAGTACCACATTCTGGTCCTCGGGTCGGTGGTAGTACTCAATGGTCCCCATGTGACGGATAAGGCCAAGCTCAGGATCAGCATAGGCCACCTCAGTCACAGTGTGGACGTAGGCGTCCACACAGGCCTTGCTTTCATACTGGACAACGCGCTGCCAGAGGTCGGCAATCATCTCGACCTTGAGGATATTGAACAGCTGCACGTTGCCGCCAAGCCACTTGGATTCCTGGTTTGTCATTTTGGTGGTAGAGATATGGACTATTAGAATGTAATGTGTACACTAGTTTGCAAATGTGAAAACTGAAACGTTCAAGTTTGAGAATTGTGTTTATGTAGAAAAATAGAATATAAAAAAGTGGGTCACGCTTTGGCGTGGCCTTGGCGTGGCCTTGGCCCACCTTGCCTACCCTGGCATGGTCTTGAGTTCAATGTTCAAAGTCCAAAGTATTTTATTGTGTACACATTGGAGTCCACAGTGGTGTCTCACGACGTCGATGAGCGGAACTGTACCCACACCCACTCCCAGTAGGCCGCGGGGCAAGTCGCCGAGATAGAGAGGCAACTTTGACACATCTACAACGGTCCAGGGGTCAATATTGGAATAGTCAAGTCTGGCAATGAATGCATCCATCATATCAAGGTGCAGCTTAGGTATCTCTAGGGGATACTGTGCACAACACACACGCGTGGTCAATCCCAACAGCCATACCGCATCAATCCCGCTTGTTGGGATACAATCACAAATGTAGCACTTGTCTTCCACCAACGTCCGGGCATACTGTACCCATGTCACATACCCAGGTGGAAGGGGGACGTTGGCGGGAATGCCAAATGCCTCACGATGCCTGTAGACGTAACGCTCGGCTGCAAACACTGGCGCATCCGGCAGGAGCACGGATATGGGCTGGAGCTGGGATCTCATAACTAGTGTTTCCAGCACTGTGTCGGGCATTTCAAATGGTTCACATGTATGCGACTTGTCCCGAAGCACACAATAGGGTGTCCATGACCAGATTCTCTTGCCCAGCACGTCCAGAAGGGACAGGAGCTCAAGCTTCAGCTGCATATAATGTGCAGCATGCAGAGTTATGTAGCCGTGGTCCTGGAACACCGGTGTAGCATGACGAGCGTCTCTGCCCACAAGGCCAATTACAACCTCTACAACATATGCTGGAAAGGGGACATAGAGAGATTCGTAGCCACATTGGACGAGCTGGCTATAGAGTATAGGCGAGCTCAGGGCCGCAACACTGTCCACTCTACACTCACCGTTGGAACAGTGCAATGTGATGTGCATGCTAGACAATGTGTGTAAAATGAATAAATATACATTACTAATTTTAAAAT